TCTTGCATTGTTGGATCATTTTTATGGGTGTAATATTTATTATGCATGATAGAAAGCACATGATAATTTTCTTCCATTGCTAACTTTATTTTGAGTGAAGAACTATGCACAAGTACTCAAGACCACAATTATGATTTCCTGTTCTGAGTCCAACACACCATACGAGGAACAATGATACAAATGTGCAGGTAAAAGCAGTACATATTTCATTACTGGAAATTATCCTTAGGAAAACATTCAAACAATCTTTGCGGTGGGATTTAGAACTCATGACAATTGCCAAAAATCTAAATAGCACTTTATCAAATGCTGGGATTAGTGTGTTTGAGAGCTACACACTATGAATAGCCCATGTCTGAGCAATCATTCTGAACGCTCCTCCCGAAGGAAGAAATATAACAGGAAGGTGCAGTTTGAGATAAGATTCAGAATTTGATTGCTACATTTTCTGTTCAGTGCATACTGCTATGATTTCTGGTAAAATGTACTAGTTAAGTGTTACAGTAAATTGATCACATAATGCTATGGAATTTATCATGTAATAGAAAAGGAATTTAAGAGCTGCATACCTAATATTATTAATAAAATGGGCTTGTGGATAGAGACAGAGGATATGGTTTATATTATTACCTGGTTCTAGACTACATTAAAGAGCCAGTAAAATTAGAATTGCAATGACAAAATAAACCTTCAATAGGACTTTTCAATTGAAAACTTCTGACTGGCTAATTTCTGACAACAGTGGGTGTTTACTCCCTGCATCTCTTCTGTTTCTAGAAATGACTCTTGATCTTGGATCCTCCCATTGGATCAGAAGTCCAAGCATATATGTGTAGAGAGGCTCTGCTGCCACCCTCTGTGGTATCTGAGATGAATCAAAATACTAACTGTAAATAAAACACCAACCACTCTAAAGATCTAGGGACACAGACATCTAATTGTGAAAGAACTGACACAATGGAAAATTATTGGCATATAATAAAGTATTAAAAATAATATCAGTAACTCTAAGGTACTGGCACACAAGGAATTAAAGGATAAATTAAATTATCTTTGTAGGCTATCTCTGAGAAATTATCAAAGAGAATGCACCTTAACTATGTGTTTATCTCTCTAGTTCATTGATACAGTCATTTTTTATCCTGGGACTTTTTAGAAAGAAGTACATAGGGGAGAACAAACATGCAATTTTTTCCAGGTTGTCTAGCATCTCTTAATCTGAAATTCAGTAAGGTGCATAATAGATTAATGAAGAAGGATGTGTTTGATTAATTCCTCATGAGACAGGTACAATACTGAGAGCACAAACTGCCTATGAGAAGGATTTATATTAATTATTACCTGATAAAAGGCTAGTTTTCCAGATCATACTTGTGATTATTCAAATCTATTTTATACCAGGGCAGATATAATGCTGTTCCTTTGGCATCACCTCTGTGAGACGAGCCCCTACTTAAATAAACAGTTTCCTACCCTGCACAACATTTCTCATTTACTACCTTAATATTATTGCCAGCTACACCACTGATCAATGTGGTCATTTGGGCACACAGAGGATGAGTGCTTTAGAAGAATAGCCAACATCAAATCAAAACTCTTCTGATTTTTTATCACAAAATTACCAACCTAATGCTGTCTCCAGCAGCAGCAAAGCCATTCAGCTCTGGTGAAGGGGAAATCTACCCTTTCTCAATGGGTCTTCAAAAGCGAGCAGCTTTCCACATTTTCTCCTCACCCTTTCCACTTGCATTTTATTTATTTTTCTGCAATTCTGCCCAACAAATAAATAAGCTGCTCAAGTGCAGGGTGCCTATACTGTTGTATTCTGAATGACGATGATGCAGGACCTTTGCCAGCACTCTGCAATGGGTCATTCATCCAAACTGTTCACAAGGAATAGAATTTAGCTTTAAACCTTCCGTTTTTCAGAAACAGCAGAACTAAAATTAGTCATACAACTTTAACTTTCTAGTTAAACAGTATCTGAAAATGTTACTTCCATGTGATTAAAATATTAGTCTGCCTTCATGACCTAATAAGTATTCTCTAACACATGAAAAGAAAAAAAACAACCATCCTTCATGCTCACTGAAAAGAAGATTAGACCCTTTTTCACATATTTGGGAAAGGGCTTTCCCCACCTACTGGGGAAAGAAACCTTGTGTGCAAAAAAAAAAAAAAATCATGCTAATGCATTGTGACAATCAGGCTTGCATATTCACCTGAATAGTACCAATTTGCTAAAGGTGTTTTCATAAATGTAAAATTTATTCTACATAATTTATCTTTAATCTAGTATCTGCATACATTCTGCAAAGTACTGGAATATATAATTTGCTTTCTTCTAGATTTTACTTAGTACAAGTGAACAGACACTTCACAATAAGAAAAAAGGCAACTTTGTATCTAGACATCTCATAGTATGTTACCTGTGGAGTTACAGTTCTGTTTGTCAAGGGGTAAATTGTTTTTTCTTTCTTGTGAAAAAAAAAATCAAGCATCAACAACAGGAAAATGTCTTAGCTGTTAATTGGGCAAGTAAAATTGTCTTGATGCATTTCACAATCCTTACCAATCTTCTAAAACACAAGCATAGCAGTTTCTTCAATCATCATTTAATAAATAGCAGAGATCTGCTTCTCCTTATTAAGGGAAAAAAAAGGAGGAAGGTGATTGTGGAAGAGGCCTTCGCCTGTCTTGCTTCTTGTGATAGTTGAGATTGTCAAGAGTTTACACACATGAGCTGCAAATATTTAAAAAGAGGAGGTTCCTTTCCTGTTTATACTTTCATTAAAAACGGAATTCCAGAAAAAATTCATCATTCGCACAGCTACCTGGAGAACTCGACAAGCACACTGAAATAATAGGGAATGTGGACCAGTGTATTTGTTCAATGAATGCCATATGGATTTTGGAATTTGGTAATCAGAGATCTGGCCTCTCTTTATAATGTATTTGGGACAGATTGGAGCATTTCTGTGTAATTGCAATAACCAGGTGCTTTTGTCTCACTGAGGTTAAACTACCTGTTGCTATCCCTGTTTCTATAAGGAAGACAAAATTGGAAATCAGTATATATAAGGTTTATACTGGCCTTTCTCTTGCCTGTCCATGCCCATGATTATTTCTTTACTTTCTTAATAAATCCCTGATGGGCATATTACTTCCTAGCTATGCCAGTAAAAGATTCTGTAGTTGCACTCAGGTATTAAAAGGTGTAATAAGCATTACTTGAAAGAAAGACATATGTCTTCATGAACTGAATTTTATAACACAAAGCTTATCAAAAGGAAGATGTGAAATACTGCAAGAAGAAACTCCCTAAAAGGATCTGATTTATTCTAGAAATAGTTAAAACTTAATTTATCGTGAACATTGAGAGAAATTATGAAACATATTTAACCTGACAATGCAAAACTAAGACTCAACCCTCACTGAAATTTGTCCCAGAGACTCAAATACCTGGGAACAGCAGGTTTTAATAGTTGAAGTTTGATTTGATACTACAACATTTCCAAGGTTATTGCAACATTTGTTAATCACCCTTAAAGTATATCTGGGGAGAAGCAAGTAACTTTGTCTAGCATCTTTGCATGTATTATTCAACAGGAATCTCTGATAGCTGAAAGTATTCTAACAGGCAAAAAAAAATTCTTATGCCTGTTAAAAGCGTTAAGAGCAAACTCAAGTGCAGAGTTTCCACACCAAATGCCAAAACTACATAACACAGGGAACTGTGGCTAGACAACATAAATTCAAACTTCATGCTTTACACTTCTAAGCAGTTTTAAACACTGACAGATTTCAGACCGATTTTTAGACAGATTTTTTTTTTTTTGATACCACAGAAATACTGACTCAGTCAGGAGGTCCACTGACATTGGTGTCTTTTAAGACTGACTGCAAGTTCCAGAAGGGGAAACAACTCCATTTAAGACAGAGCAAGAGAATTGCCACAGCTCTAGTTTTAGAATATGTTCATCCACAGATCTCCATAACTTGCCTCACTGATGTAACATAGCAAGGAATGCAAAGAAAAGTTGTATTTTTGATAATTAGTAGCATGTCCTTCTAACTATATAAAGGCTGCTACCCCCAAGTATCTCTTCTGTTTTAGAACAGGTGAAAAAAAAGAACTTATTTACGTCTGTAATTACTTCCATACAAGTTCAAATAAGCATCATTTCTTTCCCCAGATAAACAATATTCAATCCTTGTACTAATTGCTTCCATTTGAAAAACAACAAGATTCTTCCCACTTTAGTTCTGCCATTCAGAAATATCTGCCATAGTTACATACACTATTTCTTGTCATAAGACAGACTACTACTCTAATTAGCTTCAATACAGTTTATACATTTAATAGCTGGTTTGCTTTCTTTAAGCTTATAAGCATAAGTAAACAATCCTCTAACCTCTCCTACAAGACTTTTGCAACAAAAGAAGGAGATGTCTCAATTGATCTTGAAACTGTAGGAATATGGTCTACAGGAACTCTGACACATCCTCCACACAAAAGATTAATGAGTAATTCTTTTGGCAGTAGTTCCATACATTTGCCTCATCTTCCTTGACTATTCTTTTTTTACAGTGCTCACTTTTGGTAATACTAGTTTACAGAGCTGAATATACACACTACTTCTGCATTACAGTACTCATTTTAATGAAAGTGGAAAGGTTGAAACTACCCTGTTCAAGTTTTCCTAACAGAAACAGAAAAGATGTGAAATAACAAAGGGGGTTAAATATTATATATACATTATATATATAATATATATACATATAAAATATATATATCACATATTTTATACATATACAATTATATAATATTTTGTATAAATATACAAAGTTTTATATATATTATACATATTATATATACACGTAGCAAAAAAGTTTGCTGATCACTCACTTTTCTGCTTCAAAAAGCAATTAATAGTGTAATAAATTATGGAAATGGGAAGAAAACCACACAGAACATCCTACATTTTATCTCACTTTTCTTAGGAAATACCTGGATATTATCAAGTAATACAGCAACTAATAAAGACCTTTATTTTAGAACTTTTCATGAAGATTTCCAGTTGGCTTCCTCTCACTTTCTTCACTGACCCTGGGGCTAAGTCAAGTGCAAGAGCTCTAGAAGCATCAACATTGACATGGCCACCAGAGCAGACAGCCCAACGAAGACAATCACTACAAAAGGAACCCTGAATTTGTGTTTTCACATCTGAAACTCCACCCTCCCTTTGAACTTTTGCTCAGCCTCCAACATTTAGAAAAATTACTACCATGACCATATCAGAACTGTCATATTTTCTAAACAGAAAACTACTCCATATTTGAAGCAGAATGGATTTTCTTTATTAGATAATTAATCAGCAAGTACTGAAAAGGAAGAAATTTTCTGTGTTGACCAGAAATGACAGCACAATCACAAGCAAACACCAGGCCTCCCTGAAAGATTTCAGAACCAGATGCAGTCAGAATCATGATCAGCAGTCACAACATTTGATTTTCAACGAAGAGAGGAGTAGTCGTCTTGCCTTTCACACCAAATAAAGTTAACCAGATTTACTTGATTTTGTAAGTTTTCATGTTGCTTTTGTGTTCATGCATTGGTACTTCCATCAGTAAGTCAGTCCACACACTTAGGCCACGCACTTCGAAGTCTCCATCTTGTGTCCTCAGCACTTCCAGAGCAGCTTGGGTCTGTTCTTTAAGCAGTGCAGATCCCTGACAGAGGCAGCTGAAGCGCTCCCTTAATTCCTCCCATGACAATTTAGCTTTGTCAAGGCAACTTTTAACCCACCGTCCCTGCAAGGGGTCATAAACCAAGTGGCTTCCCCAGCCGGTCAAGAGGTCCAAGTAAGATCTGCTTAACTGGGAATAGTGACCAGCTAGGAAAGCAAGATGGGAACATGGGAGGCAAAGGCAGAAGGCAGCAAACCGCTCCTGGTTGCCCAGCAGCCAGGAGAGCAGGAGCCCGGCGGAGCACCCGTCTCCCGCAGCGCTCTCCCGGTACCCGCCTCGCCTGCCGCTCCCATGCCGATCCCTGTCTCCGGCCTGCTCAGCGCCATGCCCCTGCTTGAGCAGAGCCAGCGCCGCCGCCACGACGCCGAAGGCGCGGGGCTGGGGCAGCTGCTCCAGAACACCGCACAGCCAACGCCGCTGCCCCGCGGCCTCCCCGACCTCCTGCGCCTCCGCCCGCAGCCGGCTCAGCAGCAGCTGCGCCTCTGCCTGCAGCTGCGGCTCCGGCCCGGGGGCACGCCGCGGCGGACGGCGGGGCAAGGCCAGCAGGCAGGCAGCGGCCTTGCGGCGGGCGAGCAGCTCCAGGCCGCGGGGATCGCAGCCGGTCCCCGCGCCGGGAGGCTGCAGGAGGCTGCGGAGCAGGCGGCGGCAGGCGGCGGGCGGCAAAGCGCGGTTCTCCAGTAGCGCCAGCCCCAAGAGCTGCGGGCAGCGGCCCAGCGCGGGGAAGCCGAGCAGAGGGTACGGCTGAGACCGGCGCAGCCGCCGCCCGAGGGCCTCCCGGAGCTGGGGACGGGCACGGAACCGGTCATAGAGGTGCTGGAAATAGCGGGCCCACTCTAGAGCCCTATCCAGGGTGAGGGAGTCCCAGTCCCGCACCAGCGCGGAGCGGGACACGGCCAGGAGCGCCGGCAGCTGCTCCACCTGCCCCAGTACAACCTCCATGGGCCAGGCTTGGGGCGGCAGGTTTGAGCGCGGTCCCGCCGGGCCCGGGGCCGGGCCGAGCCCGGAGGATGGCGTTTGTAACTCATTGGCTGAGCGGGACGTCAATCCGTGCGGAGCGAGCTTTCGGTAAAGGAGTCGTCACTCGACTTCCGGCCCATCACCCAACCAGGAGCGGGAAATTGAACCGAATTACAATGATTGAAACCGACCGCGACTTTTTTTTTTTTTTCTTTGTTTTTTCTCTTTTCTTCTTTTTTTCTTCTTTTTCTTCACCATCTTCGTTGCCCTCCTTTGGACGCTCTGCAGTAGCTTTATTTCTTTATTGTATCGTGTCCCCCAAAACCACACCCAGTGTGCGAGGTGAAGCCACACCAGAGCAGAGCAGGATAATCACCTCCCGCCGCCGGCCGGTCTGCTTATGCTAAGAGGCATAGAACGATATGGAGCACAGTATTCCTAACCATCCCCTAAAAAAGAAACCTCCTCAGGAGCAAAGCTCCCCCTGCCCCACCTTTGGGGGTGCTTCCCAATTTCAGCGATAGCTCAGGCTCTGGAAGGAGCCATGCCAAGCTCAGCTGGGAGCAGGGCTGCCCACCGCTACCCAGGGCTGTGTTCTGCCAGGGGCTGGGCTCACCCTTCTGCCCCACTAATTAATGGCTTCATAGCTCATTAGCGATTCCCCACTAACGACTCCTGTACTTCCACCTCTCTGCTACATGGCAAGAAAGTTAGGCATGACTTGATACAGCCTATGTGTTGGAGTGACTGTTCTCAGATGCTTGCCTGTTTTAAAGGAAAATGAAGAATAGGCAATTTTAATAAAAAAATTAAAATAAAAAATTTATTTCGCGACCGTAATACAGTCCCGACAGCCACCAATCAATCGGACAGCGTAACACCCCCGGGAGGTGAGCTGGGTGGACATCAATCTGGCCTCTATCGCACCAAATCCCCCTCGTCCACACCGCCTGTTCCGAGGTCGTGGGTTTTATACGTTTTAATTTGCCCGTGGCAGAGTCCCTTTGTCTCCTTTTTGAGGTCTTCATATTCATGTTGGGTCTTTTCTTCGCTCCAGGCTGCACAAAGCCTTCATCCGGGAATTGATCAATGCGTTTCTCCGATTCCTGATTCCCGGAATCTGGCATTCAGCCGGCAGGTGTTGATGGCTCCGGTTATCTCAGATGTGTATCTCATCCAGGCCGTCATCTCCTGGGTGTCACTGGACACGTGCCTTCGTGAATGCTCTGCTCCTGTGCAGCCGAAGTTCCCTTCGAATGCAAATGTTGTGGTGCCTCCTTGCCCATCTGCCGCGGTTTCGCCATCCTGGGGATTAAATTCCTCCCCCCCTTTTCTTTCCCTGTGGACAAGCAGTTTGTTTTATATATATATATTTTATACATCTTTTATCTCCACAAATTACTAACCATATTTCTAACATTGCCTAATGTCTGCTGCCTCAAGGGCTTCCACTCAGGTGGGTTACAGGTTCTTTCCCTCCATCCTCATCTCCTTGGCAGAGCTACGTTCAGTGTTCCCTCAGTGTGGAAGGGAGCAGGTGGTCTGGGTTCTGGCAGCTTCCACAGATGCACCCTGTGCCCCTGCTCCTTCCTCAGGGTTGCAGCAGTGGCATCCGGGTGCTGGAGCTGGGAGGTTTGGTAGCTGCTGGATATTTCTTTGGAAGTTTGCCAGCCCTTGTCACCCAGCCTGCCAGGACTTGGCCCTGTGTCCAGTCCTGAGGACAACACTGCCAACCTGTCCAAGCAAATCCTTTAGCTTTCTGAAAGGCACTAGCAATACCTGGCACAGTAAGTGAGGTTTGACGGGAATTTACTGTGGGAATCAGCAATAGAAGCCAAACTCTAACACTGTGAGCTACAATACTGTAAACCATAATGCTCTCTGAAAGAGCACTATGCATCCTCATGCAGAATGTATGTTCTCTTCTCTACATCCTAGTGCTGCGAATAGTTTCCTCCAACTTTGTTATTAAACAAATTGCATTTTTGGGTGATGAAGTGTGTAAGGACCCTTGGTAGCTTAGATAGTAAGAGACACAACATTTGTAGCTCTGACTTCAAACTAACATGGGTGAAATACGAGAAAGAGGACAACAACTTGCTTCTACTGCTCTCTTTTCCACTAAGGAAAATTGAAATGTGTGGACAGAGCCACTGAACCCATTAGAATTCTGTGTCTCACTAGGAAGATGCTGAGACTTTGTCGCATGTCCACAGGTCCTTGCCCTAAAAGTAATGTCAAAGCTGTGGGTGACAAGCTCCTCTAATTCACATCAGGCTTTGAAAATAAAGCAAAAGACAGATTAATAAAATTGTAACTAAGGGTTTAGATACTAGGCTACCCTCTCTAGACCCTCTTGTAGACTCCTCTGGATGGTTTGGTAAATGTTTTCTTAAGTACACTCACTAAAACAGATCTCTCATCTGAGTTACTATCCTATTTTCTTATTTCAGTCCTATTTTCTTATTTGCTGTTTTTCTTATTTCTTACTTAGAAAAACATGAAGTTGTAGGCTTGGTGCTCTAGGTCACCTGTAGGTTAAGGGCCTAAAACAGGCATTGGAGTGAAATTCTATGGCCCTTGTTTGTGAGTGAAGGAGTTCATAAAAACCCCTCAATGTCTATGAATATAATGTATCTTAAAGTATCATTCTAAAATACATGTTTTTCCCCTGAAAAATCTCTTTTAATCTCTTTTTAATCTCTTTTTTAATCTCTTTTCTCTATTAGAGAAAAATCTCTCTGTTAGCTATTAAACATAAAATTGGCTACAATATCTCTCACCTAGCAGTTTATTGCATTGTTAACAATAGAATTGCTATTGTAATTAATAACTTCATATTTACCTATCATTTGCCTTACCTGTATATTCCAGTGCATATTATAAAATAATATACAATGAAGAGAAGAAGGAGCGTGCAAACTTTGAAATTACATACAGTTGAGTGTAGCACTTTGGGACGTTACTTTGTGTTTTTCTTAAATGAAAAAGTGACAGAAACTTAGAGTGGTTGGAATATAATTCAACATTATCTATATAGTATGTAATATGTAATATATATACACATGTGTATATATAGGCCTCTCTGGTTTAATATGGCACATCTTGAATGAAGGGTTGTGGCACATAGGAAGAAAACTGTTTCAGTAAATTCATGTTTTATTTTGGTAGATATGTTTTGGAGGTGCATATGCTCCATGTCATAAAGAAGATATTTCCCTTTACATCAGACAACTTTTCACAACAAGTCTTTCACATTAGTGTTCTTTTTCTTTACTGGATAAAACGAATGGGTTTATATTGTGGGAATGTCTCTGTATGTCTCATTTGAAAGAAATCAAATAACCACATTTGCAGCACCAGGAAACTAACAAAAACAGGTTGTGAAAATCTAAGTAGTCTGGGAAAAAACACTGTTATCAGAAATACTCTTACATGTGAAAAGAGATGGTCTGTATGTTCTAGTGAGTCTCTGTAGAGCTGATTGAAAAATTAAATTTCCATTTTACAAAAACTCTGAATATTTCAGCATTTTTTTTAACTTAGGGTGAAAGTTCTAAATATTACCACTTTTCATCAAAAGGGCACAGGTTGGCATCTCTAATAAAATGGTTCATGCAAAAAGATGTTTCTGGATTTCTAGGTATTGCAGCTGCATTTGGAGTCTCCTGTCATGATTGGGATGCATATAATGAAAAATAGAACCTAACGTGAAGAAGCAGCAGAGTTTTGTATTAGACTTTTAGAATGCATTGGAAAATTATTTCAATGAATGAAAAAAGAAGCAAGGTGTCAGTGAGATGGTTATGATTCTGTTGCACTACAATAGCCCATAAAACCCATAATTCTTTCTCTACACTCACCATTAAAGGAACTCCTTTTCTTCTCTGAAGTTTGTGTTATTATTTGAGACCCTGACCATTCTCAGAATGCATTTTAGGATCTTCCATTGCAAGAGTGGGATCTATTTATCAGTTGATTGATCTGCTGGTGGTGGTACCACATAGCAATCAAATTAAATTGAAAAATGTGATCTTTTTCCTTATAGGTGAACTATTTGCATATGAATTTGAGAGCTAGTACTCTCTTTACTATGACCAGTCTTACATCTAGCTAAGTAATATCTTGCATAGCCATTACTTCCTTAGTAATCAGCATTATTACTAATTTGTACTTACTGTCTATCAACTGATACTAAGATTGTTGCTATCTAAGAGTATTGCTGAGTTGTATAGGTATGGTTTAAAAGTACCTGTACAGTGCTGAGTTGGTTTTCTTTCTGAGGAACACCTTCAAACAGTTGGGAAAAACTTGGGAAGTAAGTACTGAGAGACTGAGGAGGTGAGGTAGAGGGTTAGTATTGGGGAGGGGGATAGGAAAGGGAAAGTTCATGTTAGGCTGTCAGGAGATCCAGTGAGAACACAGAGATGGGGCAGATAGAATGGTGAGTGGATTTTCAGATAGCACTGTGTGCAATGTGCTTTCCTGCTTGATTAATTTTCAAAAAAGGACCCAAACGTTTATTTCTAGGCTTCACATAGGTCTTTGGTTGTTTGATATCAACCTGCTTCCTCTACTGATGATGCTTGTAGTACTCTCTCATACTGTTTTATGGTGTGTTTGGATGTGTATTTCATGTTATGTAAACTATAGAGTCTGCCTATATTTACCTAATAAGAAGTGAAACTCACAAGATACCTTAAAATCATACAGGAAAATTATCACTTCATTACACAGTCTGAAAAAATAACCTTTGTTATGACTTATTTAAAAGCAAAGAAGAAAATAGAAGAGAGAACAGCCTATCTTAAATTATAGGCTAGTGCACAGATTTACAGTCACAACATATTGGATTGTTCAGATGTCTGCTGTATACTTCTAAGTAGATGTGATAATATGAACAGGGGTGGCCAGTGTTTCTTGTGTTGTAGGTTTTGTTTCTGTTTTGTTGTTCTGTTTGGTTTTCCTCAATAAAGTCTATTTTGTAATTTTAAAAATTTAATCTCTACAATAAGCATTACAGTAAGTGTTTTGAGGGTATTCGTCTATGGTT